CATCCCCCCTGGGGGGTGATTTCTCGCTTTCTGTCTCTATGTCTCTCTCTGTCTGTCTGGCGAGCGCACGCGCCCTACAGTGAAAATCTCTCAGAAAAAAAAAAATACAAAGGCAGAGTCTAAGAGAAAATTCTCAAAAGGAATAGAGGATTAGCCCACTGTGTCAAGAGTAAAGGTATTTTGGTGGAGAGAGCCTCCTAAAATTGAATAGAGCAAGTTTTGAGCAGCCATTGGTGCAGCAAATGTGGCTTTGGAACATATTAAGAAAAGCTGAGAAAGCAGGAATAAATTCCAAACCTCTTACAACAGTCTGTCAGTTAACAGCAGTGTTACGGGGAACCTGGGTTCTCTGGTCAGTGAACCCCCAGCTCAAGCACTTTTTTTTTTTATTTGTTAGCAGGTACATGGGTTCACTGGAGAGAGGGGGAGGAAATGAGGAAGCATCCCCTGGGGAGATAGCCAAGCTGCAATCCTTTCTCCTCCATTTCTCCTTCCCTAATTTTGGGCAAGCCCACACGTGTGCCCTGCCAAGCTGCTGGGTCCAACTGGCCACGTGGGATCCAGCCACCTTAACCACTGCACCGCTGGCTGGTCCTCCAGCACTTAACGTTATGTAACTTTTTTTTTCCCTTTTTTTTTTTTTTCTGTTGTTGTTTTGCCATTGAGTGTGTGTGCTCACGGGAAGAGACAAGGAGACAGTGAGAAAGTGAGAAATTGCCTCCCGGAGGGACCACCAAGCCACAGCCCTTTTCTCTTTTCTCCTCACAGGACTTTGGGCACACATTCTGCATGATTTTCAATCTAGGACGCAAACCACTGTCAGCCATGTGGGAATCCAGTATCTTAACCACCACGCCACCTGCTGGCCCACAAGTTGATTTTTACTCAAAATGAGACTTTATGGGAAGACATTTAAGATACAGGAGGGAAGATCATCTCTAAGAGGGAAGATAACTTCCAGGGAAGGATAAATTTGAGATGGTAAGAGGAGTACCTCCTCCGTAGTATAAAGAAGAATGGTTGCACGCAGTTAAGTTATTTTCTGCCAAGAAGAAAGGGTCTGCTGGAAGAACCTGCATCTAATGAGAGTGTAAAGTAGGCATCTGAAACAGCCTCAGTGGAAAATGGCAGGAGAGCCAACTGAGGGTACAACAAAAGAACTTTCTGGTAGGAGCAGGGATCTGTGATTGGAAAGCAAGATTTTATAATGACAAGTAGCACAGTTTAGCAACTTTCTCCAGTAGCACTTAGCAGACCAGGAGGAAGTGATGGCCAAAACTAGCCCACAGTTTAAGTATTTGCCAGGCTAATGATGGAAGAATCGCAGGGCAAACTGGCTGACAGTAAGGACAGCTTTTTATTTTATTGGGTCATCAGAAAAGTCAATGCATTTTTTTATATTTTCCTATACAAAAATGCATCATGACTTTTCCAATGACCCAATATTTCATTTTAGGTTTTTGCCATAGGACGCATGTGCTTGCTGGAGAGAGACGGAGAGAGGGAAAGTGAGAAATCACTTCCCAGGGGAGATGGTCACACTGCAAACCCTTTTGTTCCATTTCCCTCTCAGGATTTTGGGCACACACAAGCACTCATGATTTTCAACTTGCTGTGTCTGGGACCTCAAACTGCATTCAGCCAAGTGAGACTCCAGCACTTTCACCACCACACAACCTGTGACCCCAGCTTTTTATTTCTTTTTCAGAATAATTTAGTTTGGTTTTTTTTTTTAATAGTTATTTTATTTAACTTTATTAATGTATTTATTTTAATTTTACAAGAGAGGGACAGAGTGAGAGAGAGAGTAGGAAAGCAAGGCACCAAATCCAGGACTCAAACCGCGGTCAGCCATGTGGGAGTCCAGTGCCCTTCACCATGCCACCTGCCGGCCCTAGTTTTGAGTTCTTTTTAAAGAATGACATATTTAATATATTATGATTTTAATTTGCTGTCGAGCATGTGAGCTCACGAGAGAGAGAGAGAGAAAGTGAGAAAGCAAGCCACCAGGTCCAGGACTCGAACCACTCTTAACCACATGGGAGTCCAGTGCCTTAACCACCAAGCCACCTGCTGGTCCCCAGAATAATTTAGTTTTAACTTTATTTTGAAACAGAAATTTGGGGCCAGCAGGTGGCATGGAGTTTGGGGCAGCTGGGTTCTACATGGCCAATTCCACATTTCTAGTCCCAGACCTAGCAGCTTAAAAGTCACTCTGGGGGGCCAGTAAGTGGCATGGTGTTTAAGGTGCTGGACTCACACATGGCCAAAAACAGTTTGAGTCTCAGACCTGGTAGCTTGCTTTCTTACTTTCTCTCTCTCTCTGGTGAGCACATACACCCTATAGTAAAAATGTTTAAAATAGGGACCAGCATGTGTCATGGTAGTTAAAGCGCTGGACATTCTCACATGGCCGACCATGGTTCAAGTCCTAGACCTGAAGGCTTGCTTTCTCACTTTCCCTCTCTCTGTGTGTCTCTATCTGGTCAAATTAAAATAAGTGAATGAATAAATAAAATTAAATAAATAATTATTTTAAAATTAATAATAATTAGTTAACTAATTCTTTTAAAAAAATCATGCCAGGCATGTATGATTTCTGTGTACACACACACACATATCCTAGTGCCCCCCCTTTAAGTTACCAGTGGGCACATGTACTCATCAGGAAAAGAGAAAGCACCCTCCAGTGGGGGATGGCCATGCCACAGTCCTCTTTGCTGTATTTCTCCATCACATCAGGATTTTGGACATGCGCACAAATCCGCACAGCATGATTGTTTGTTTGTTTGTTTGTTTGTTTTTGTTTTTGTTTTTTGTCTTAGGGTGCGTGCACTCACCGGAGACAGAGAAAACAGAGGCAGTGAGAAGCAAAATAACAAATCACCCCTCCACCACCACCAAGGGAGCTGGCCACCCCGCAGTCTCTTCTCCTCCTGCGATCTTGGCCACACAGGCACACACCACACAGGTGGCATGATTTTCAAGCCACCAGGTCTAGTACTCAAACCATTGTGGACCATGTGGTAGTAACCATGTAACCACTACACCATCTGCGGGCCTGCACAGCGTGTTTTTCAAGGCACTGGGGCCGGAATTCTTACTGGGGTCGGCCATATGGGATCCAGCTTTTCCTACACAACACCTAACCACTGCAATAACTGCTGGCCTGGGACCAGCAGTTGGCGTAATGGTTATGTTGCTGGACTCCCATGTAGTTGACCGCGTTTTGAATCCCGGACCCAGTGGTTTAAACTCACGCCAGACGCGTGTGCGTACGTGCCCAAGATCCCAAGGAGAAGGGAGGATAAGGGATTGCAGTGTGGCCATTCCCCCTGAGGGATGATTTCTCACTTTCTGTCTCTCTCTGTCTTTCTGGCAAGCACACGCGCCCTATAGCAAAAACCTCTCCCCCCCCCAAAAAAAAAAAAAGATATGGGCTGGCCTATCTTTTACTTTTTTACTTTTATATATTTTTAAAATTTTGGCTAGCAGGTGCAAGCACTCATCAGACAAAAACGAGAGAGGGAGAGGAAGAAAGCAACCCCTGTGGGGAGCGGCCGCTGCAATCACATCTCCTCCATTTCTCCATCCTGTCAGGATTTGGGGCACACACGTACATGTACACAGCATGTTTTTCTTTTCTTTTGGAAAGGTTTTTGCTATAGGGTGCATGCGCTCGCCAGAAAGACAGAGACAGAGAGACAGAAAGCAAGAAATCACCCCCCAGGGGGATGGCCACACCACAATCCTTTCTCCTCCATTTTCCTTTCTGGATTTTGGGCACACATGCACACACGCCTGGCATGAGTTTAAGCCACCAGGGCCGGGACTTGAACCGTGGTTGGCTACGTGGGAGTCCAGCAACATAGCCATTATGCCAACTGCTGGCCCTGCCCAGTGTTTTTTTTTTCAAGCCCCTGCATCTACAATTTGAACTGTAGGGTTGGCCATGTGGGATCCAGCTGCCTTAACTATCAGGCCACAGAGCCAGCCCTATCATTTTCATTTT